CATAATTATTGAGTTGCTTAATATGCTTAAGACTGTTAAGCTCAACATCGAAGTTAGTAGTGGGCAAGTCATTGATTCCTCTAAAAATATTAAGAAGAAGGGGCTTTATGAAAGCGTCCAATATGGTCAAGACAGTGTAAGCAAAGGACAATACCAAATATAATGACCCTTGGTTTTATTATAGAATGAAAGGTTATTAGAATGAATATTGTATGGCTTACGTCTACTTCACAAGTTTCTTAGGTATCTGATACCAGATGTAAATCCCATATTTATACAAATATGGAGAAACTAAATAGAAGTATACTACTGCGAAAGGAAGAAGTTAACCTACATGATGGAGATGAGCAAATGTTGCTGCATTGCCTGTAGGAGCATACTTCTTACCGTTGCCCTTTGACTTAGTAATGGAATTAGAGAAATGTTGCTTTGTACCCACCATAGCTAGAACATTAAAATGAATTTCATGTTCAGACATGAAACATTTTAATGTTAAGGACAATTGTTGTTCCTGCATATCTTGATTAAGATCTTAATAGTTGTGGTAAGTTACAAAATAACATTTGTATTCTAAATACTAAGGATTCTATAATGAGTATAGAAATTTTAAGGCATAAATGCGATAATCTAATTATTACCGAGATCTGGTACGACAGACTTTGTCATATAGATAAAATGTAATTCCAAAGTTACATAGAGATGTATACTTGGGACTAACTGATTTTGACAAGTACAATTTATGCATGTCTGGTACAATGACCAAATCTTCTTTTATTTGAAAAGAAGAAAGGTCAGCATAATTACTGGTCTAATGCATAGTGATGCATATGGACTCATGTCAAAAAATGCCAGGTAATGTTTCTCTTATTTCATCAATGATCATGTATACTTGATGAAAACTCAAACATGAAACTCTTGAAAAGTTCAAGGGATTCACACTAGAATTAGAGAAACAAATAGGTAAAGATACCCACACATTAAGATTCGATCAAGTGAGAGTATCTTAAAGATAAAATTTAGATTATCTAAGAGAGAATGAGATTCTCGTGCAATGGACTCCTTTATACACACTGCAACAAGGTGGTGTATCTAAAAGGAGGAATCGTTAATTATTACATATAATGCGATTAATAACAAGTCATGCAAATTTCTCAAAATTGTTTTGAGGTCACGCATTGATTGCAGTGTGCAACACACTAAACCACGTCACATCTAAATTGGTTAACAGAACTCCATACGAGTTATGGAAAGACAATAGTCCTAATTTATCTTGTATGAAAGTTTGGGGCCATGACGCTTATTTGAAGCGCCTTAAATCGGATAAGTTTGAGACCGAATCCGAAAAATACATATTTATGGGATATTCAAGTGAGACATTTGAATATAAATTCTATTATCATGAAGAAAGTCTTCGTCTCACGACATATCGTCTTCTTAGAGAAAATGTTTACTCTTGGAGAAGACAGTGAGAGTAAAATAGAATTTGAAAGAGTTCAAGAGTTCACAGATATAGTTAACCAAGTAGATAAATTCGAGTTTGATCCCATATCTGATATGGGACATACTTTGGATCAGGAAGTAAAGACTCATGAGGACATGACAGCTCTATGTGAATCTAGTAGGATCATTCGACCTTCAAGAAGGTGCGAATCCATGATCATTAATCAGGTATTAGTGATCCAGGACAATGAACCTGCTAGTTGCAACAAAATAAAGTCAAGTGTTGACTTAAAAGAGACATCATGAGGCCATGATACTTGAGATGAACTCGACGTATGTGAACAAGGTTTGGACCTTGGTTAAGCCTTCTGATGGAATAAAACCCATAAGGTTTTGTAAATAGTTTACAAGGGAAATGTCGATATGGAAGTGGATATCCATATATACAAAGTAAGGCTAGAAGCAAATGTTAAGTGTTGACCTTGGTGAAACTTTTCTCCTGTGACATTGCTGAAGTCCATTCGGGTTTTATTTGCAACGGTTGTATATCGTAACTAAAGGTTAAGATAAGTCTCTATGAAGCTGAAATCTTCGATTTGATGGAAAAAGTCAAAGTGTTTGATTTTATCAAATTTGAAGACGAATTGTGTATTTACAAGAAGATAGTGGGAGCATTGTCGTGTTCCTAATATTATAGAAAACGATATCCTTATATTTCAATCGTTGAAATAATGGTTGTTAAAAGATTTATTCATAAACGAAATGGAATAAGCAACTTGATTTATGGAGGTAGATCTAGAAGATTGCTTAACTCATCCCAATTTACATAGATGAAATCTTGAGAAGATTTCATATGGAGAAACTTGTTTATTCTTAAGCAGTATGTTGGAAAGGTTCCAAACGTGAAGCAACCGTTGATTCAATAGTAGAAACCTAATACATTGATACTTCAGAAGTAGCAAAGAGTTGCAATATGGATCATGATGTTCATAAATGAACTTGGAGTGGTTCCTGATATTGTTGATCACATACAATAGTATTGTGATAACAATAGAGCCATTGCGAAAGCAAAGGAACTAAGGTCTCTTCAATGATCCAAACATGTATTAAGGCGGTATAATCTCATCAAAGAGATAATACATAGAAATGATGTAAAGAGAAGAGCAAATTTCCACATTTAATAATATTACAGATCCACTGACAAAGAGTTGTCGTAGTATAAACATGATCGTCATGTAGACTTATGATATTGATACATAAGTGATTGGATCTAGTGCAAGTGGGAGTTTGTAAGTATTATGCCTAGGTCCAATCAACTTTGGACATAAATATTTTTATATATAATTAATGTAATTAAATGACAGATCTATTATTTAATTAATAGACAATTAAATAAATAATAGAGTCCGTAGATTCAAATATTTGTAATTTGTTAATCACAAGGAGTTGTGATTGTGAGATACAAATTACATCTGATTGAATCTTAAATCATCCGTGGTCGTAAGTAATAACGAGATACGGATATCGTCATTACGGATAGACCATCACGTGTGGCATTTCTTACTTGTGAAGTAAGTAGCTGATCTCACAAGTTAAAGTGTGGAGACACTTAAATGAACACGTAAATGTTTTGTTATAGAACAAAACATTGGAGACCCGTCAGAAGATTCCACATGAATAACTATCTAAGTGTCAGTGGTTAATCTCTAACTTTCGGTAGTGGAATTGGTCCTTTGACTTGAGGTCGTCATGGTACCTTATATGAGGACAGTCATACTTTGGCGGTGTTGGATGTTGCTCTAAAAAAGGCCGCTAATATGACATAGTTCGGGTACGTCAAGATTCGTCACTCTTAGATAATAGGATATTATGATCTGCGTTTTATTCAATTAAGTCGATGATGAAATCCTTGGCCAAGGTGTACTCATAAGTCGAAAAAAGAGTTTTCGACTTATATTGATTTAATAGTGGAGTGAAAGATATGATCGACGATCGAGATTGACACAATTTCATATCTCGTAATTGATCGGATCATATTGACGAAGGGATTATAGTTTCACGGTAAACGAACGAATTTGGTTTTGTCATACCACGTGACATTTCCTGTCACATGTATTGCCCTGACACATTGCCAAATGTCAATCAGGGACGGCGAGTGTGAATTGACGATAAATTAAAATGGTGTTTTAATTTATCAATTTTGATTAGATCAAAATAATATTTTACGTCGTTAGGCATCGTGGTCGGGAACCTAATGGGTCACACACAAAAGAGAATTGGAATATTACAAATTGCCAATTGGTTAATTTAACAATCGTTGGATAAATTAATTAATTGGATTTGTTATTTATATTCCCGAATTAATTAATTGGATTTGTTATTTATATTCCCGAATTAATTAATTGGATTAATTAATTCACGCGCCAGGTTTAATTAATTGGATTAATTAATTATTGGACCGGATCGGATCGAGCCCGTTTGGGTTTATATAAATATATGACTAGGGTTTGAGATTCATATGGTTTTCATTATTCTTGCTGGCACAAGAGAAAACCCTAGCAGCTGCAATCTTATTCTCTGTGTGGATCACCGTTGGAGGCTGGACAATTGGACAGCTGTGGTGGCGAATCAAGGTTGATGGAACTAAAAGAAAAGCAAAAGGATTGCAGAATTCTTCAAAGGTACAATCCTTATCACAATTTCTATCTAAATACAAAGGCGATTCTTGGTGGGAATCGAAAATTATTTTAAATTCTGCTGTACATATATAAGTAGATTCCCAACGGTGTTAACTCTAGAACAGCAACAGAGCAAACGGCCCTTAGAACATCTTCAATGGTTTACATCAAATTTGGCATAATTTTACCCCAAATTTGATGCAACTTGGTGAAAACGGTATAGATGAAACAAAAATTGTTTGTAAAGGAAAATAGATGGCAAAATGGGAAAAAGTGAAAAAGTTCAAATTTGAACAATGTTACACCAAATTTTACACCATACTTGTCATAACATTGAAGAAATAATGAAATATCATCAACTTTGCCATCCATTGAAGATAGTCTTAGCATCCTCTAATCCTCGACGAAATTTTTTAGAGACAAAATAAAAATAAAAATATCTATATTTTCTGTTTCATTTTTCTGCATTACTTATTTATTTTTTAAATAATATTTAAATATAAAATTATAAAAACTAATATACAAAAAGGTTGGGTGGCCTTTGAGCAAGAATTATATTCCCTGTCCCAACTCTTGCCTCTATTTTTGGTCAGTAGGGACAGGTTCGGGGCATTTTGCCATCTTAATTGAGCTTGTTCGATCCTCAATTTATTTATTTTTTAAATGCAGTTTGAAACAGTGATTTAACAGAGAATGTGTCATTCGAAAATAAGGAAAAATTTTAAATTTGTATTTAATAATATTTTATTAAATAATGTGTGGTTGAAAATGAGAGGAAAAAATAATTTGTTTGATAAATTTTTTATTTGCTAAAAAATTGATCAAATTTTATTTTAATCACACTCCATAATTTTTATTTATTTCTTTCTTTTATCTAAATGTCATAGAACTTTTTAAAACCGTTCGCCAATAGCAGTGAGTGGGTTTTAAGCAGAAGCAAGAGCAGCTATGGCGAACAGTGGAGAATCACTGTGCGAGGCCGCCCGCGAAGGCGATGTTGAGAAAGCAATATCTCTTATAGACTCCGGTGCTGATGTAACTTACTTCGATAAAGAGGGCCTAACTCCGCTGATGCACGCGGCCAACCACGGCCACTCCCAGGTTATTAAAGCTCTTCTTGACGCCGGAGCTCCGTGGAACGCCCTCTCCCCTTCCAACGTCTCCGCTGGTGACTTCGCTATGGAAAATGGGCATCAAGCTGCTTTTGACCTCCTCCTAAACACGGGTATATATTTATTTAGGTTAAATTTAAGCCTTAGTTTCTTTTATATTAGATTTGCTCCAATGTTTTTGAGTTCTAGTGCATTTATTAATGCCCCTTTTTAAGATTGATGGATGTTTTGATGAATTGATATTGTTGTGGCAAGGTGCTGGTTAGGGTTGTGCAATATGAATTGGTATTTTAAATCTTGATTTAACGGGATATTACTACTGGTGATGTCAATCAAGTGTGAGTCGGAACCATTTGTGTGTTGCTGAATTTTGTTGGCTGGGAAAGTTAGATTGGCTCATATGGTAATAAACATCCATAATTGTGCTGCAAAACTCAGCATAGAAAGGAGGAAATAGAGAAGAAAACAGAGACAGAAACAGATTGAAATTTAGAGCGAAGTTGAAGAATTTAGGAAGAGAAATCTCAATTAATTGATAATTCTATAATAATGTTGTCTCGTGAGTTGTGAAATATTGGTTCATTTTTCAAACGAGAGCTTAATTTTGAGTCTTTAAGGGAACTTCTAATACATCAGAGCTTATCAAAATATGAAATTCCTAGTTAATGAAAACTGATCAAACTCTATACTAAAACATATACTTTTTTCCCCATCGAGTTGTCTTTACTTTATTAATTGTTGTCACTTGGTATTTGATAGCCAGGAAGTGTTGAAGTTTGTCCATAGTTGAGCCACATGGTGCTAGAAATGTTTGTTGGACAATGTGCTCTTGTTGTTGTACCTTGATTTTTATTTTGGGAAGAAGACGGCTGATAATGTTAATTTGGCATACAAATTAATAACCCTTTCTGCTAATTTGGTAGACAAACTAAGAACCCTTTTTGGATCGCCATTTTGTCCTGAGAAAGGACAAATGTTATCACAAATTTTAATGTGCATTGATGCCAGATTCTGGCAATGAAATATCTCTGGCATTATAATTTTCATTGCACATTGCTTTATGTTTGTAAATTGTGCCATACATTACCTTGCTTGGGCATTATAAACTATTTTTAGATCACTATTTGATTAGTACTATATCAAGTACAATTGTCAAGGTCTATCTTATAACACAGACTTCTTCTCTGTGCTTGGATGCGTGCATCTTGCTTTATTTGTATGAAAATTCACTTGGCATTATCATTTGTCTTGCATAATGCTTGTGTTGTAAATAATGTTTTGAACATGCCTTACTCCAGTATTCTCAGATTCATATCTAAGTAGTATGCTTACAGTCTTTTCATTGTTTATTTGTACTTTATTTTTTTTATGATAAGAAGGGTTTGGTTCTCTAATAGGGATACAAGCAGAATTGATTCTTGGAACAATTGCAAGGAAAGAAAATGCAAAAGGTAAATCTGACAGCGATTATTTGGCAGACCGGGTTAATTTTAGTGAGGATAAGGTGATGGACTCAAAAAGCAAGGCTGTCATGATGGCTTGGGAAAAGCCACTAATGGAAGCTCATGCAAAAGCTATTTGCTCCAAAGGTGGGGACATGTTAAACATTGGCTTTGGGATGGGACTTGTGGACACTGCTATACAGCAATATGCACCCACATCACACACTATTGTTGAGGCTCATCCGGAGGTCTACAATCGTATGCTTCACGCTGGGTGGGGTGAAAAAGTGAATGTGAAGATAATATTTGGTCGCTGGCAGGATGTTCTTTCTCAGCTTGGATCATTCGATGGTAACTTAACTTTAAATATCCGTGCAATTTCTATTTTTTGCATGAATTTTTTCTTCTTAATTTCATTCACGTAAAATGTAAAGCTGCTAAAGAAGAAAACAATTCTGTTTTTCTGGCCCATTAGTAGAAGCTTTTAAGTATACTTAAGAATAAAAGCTACTTCATATTGATTTTTCCAATTATAAGTTCAAGATCCCATGAAAATGTGTTCTCATACAATCTCAACTTAATCTGCCAATGGTTATTATGTTTTGTTATTCGACTTCTGTACTTAATGACGTTTCACAAAGATCACTTTGCTAGTCGCTCATTTTACAACATAGTTTGTTCAGTGCGTTGTATTGTGAATAATGTCTACTGGTTACTGACTATTCATACTGTATGAGAAGCTTCCTTTGTGTCTCTCTAAAATGGAACTACCTATTGGTTCCTGACCAGTAATAGAGTATGAGAAGCTCCCTTTGTTTCTGATGTAGGGTGAATAATTCAATAACTATAACAAGAAGAGATGGGGGAAGGGGAGAGAAGAAGAAGAACAGAGGCGGGGAAGAAGAGAGGAAAACGGCTGCAAGCCAACTTTATAATTTAATCAAATTCATCAACTGTCTCAAATGAGAAACAAAACAAAAAATAAATAGCAGAACACAAACCCTAAAGAGAAGGGCTTGGGCTAAACCCACTAAACAAGCACAATAACGAAAACATAAACAATGGTCCAAATAAAATATAATTAATAGTCTAAATAGAAAATAAATAATAAATGGATGTCCGCATCAACTCTCCCGAGGTGGGAGAAAAACTCGATCCCGTCGAGTAGATAAAGCAGAATGTTGTACTGAATCTGATGCGAAAGGCTCCAAGTCATGCCACGGGGGACAATCTTTCTCGATGACCAAATACCGAAACTCCACAAATGATAACAAGGATAGTTGTAGCTTATCCTCAAGGATATGATCCAACCAAGGAGGACGATCTTTCTTTATAATCACATACCGATACTGAACTCCCAATAGTAAAAATTCATGCCACTCATCTCCAAAATCTTCCTCATTGGTCAACACAACCTGTTTATCTAAAATAGCATCAATTACATTTTTGTGTGTTGTGACATGTGTTATTGGAGTGAAAATGGTAATATATTTAGGTTGGGGATCCACATAAGGAAGTAGAAAAGGATCATCAAGGAAATTAAAAAGGCCTTTGTAAGTAACTAAGTCTTCAATATGTAAAGTAGAGTGGTGGTCAAAATATGATGAAAAATTAATGACATGTGCGTATGGACCAATATGTTTTAAAACTTTAAAAGGACCAGCACTACCGGTTTGCAATATAACATAATCCTCAATATGAAATTGAAAATATTGTTTATGCAAATCAGTTTGAAGTTTATATAATGCATTACTTGCGTGAAGTTGTTTATTGATCTTAATATGCAAGTCATGAAGATGATGCACAAATGCTTCAACTGATATCGACACACTAGCATATGGGGACATGGAAATAAGGTCTAACGGCCGCCTAGACTTATAACTATGAACAGCTTCAAATGGATTCAAACCTAGAGACCGATTTACAGAATTGTTATACGCAATTTGAATCGTTGGGGGAATCAAGTCCCAATTTCTAAGATTTTTCTGGACTAGAGACTTGAATAAATTGCCAGGACTTTGGTTAACGACTTCACTTTGACCATCAGTTTGAAGTTGGTCAGTAGTGGGGAATGTTGATTTAATGCTAACCATAGGCGACTGGATTCTCCAAGGGTGGCCAGTGAAATCATCAAGCTCTTTGAGTTGTGCAAGGGTACGACATATAACATGTGACCGAGAGTTGTTAGAAACAAGGGGTATAGTATCTAAAGTCTCGGGAAGAGTCTGGAGTCCACCTAAAGAAGTGTCCTCACTATCATCCAAGTCATCAAAATCTTCAAATTTAGGTTCGTAGACTAGATCTTCTAATGGCATATCTATTACATTCTTTCGTTCTTCCATGACTAAGGTTCGATTAGTACATTTGGAAGAAATGTGGCCAAAGTCCTTACAGCTGACGCACAACAAGTGAGAAGAAGTCCTTGATGTTTCAAAAATTGTACCCTTATTTTCCAAGATTGTATGAAGATTAGACGGGGAAGGTCTTAGAAGGGACTTAACGGGTGGAGGTGGAGCCAATGCAATCGAAGGATGTTTGTCAATATGCTTTCTACATGGAGAAGAAGATTTTGGACTATCACGACCTTTACAATTATTTCTCCAAATAGGAGGAACATTAGACGGAGAAGGCTTTATGATAGACTTATGACGAGGCGACGCTAACGGGATGGGTGAACGACGATGACCACGCCTTTCATATGGAGTACTAATAATCAACTCATAATCTCGAGTTAACGAGTAAGCGTGATCAAGAGTAGTGACATCTCGAAGGAAAAACTCACGCCTAAGATCATCTCTCAGACCTTGGCTAAACCTACTCAAAGTCGTAGTCTCGTCCTCAATTAAATGACATTTGATTCGAAATTCCTCAAATTGTGCGATATACTCAATCACTAGTTGATTTCCTTGTTTAAGGGCATTCCATTGAGTAAGAATTTCAAAATTCTCTCGTTCTCGCTCACGAATCTGATCCTTATACCTACGATCGTGTCTAAAGCATTTTTGATCACCATGATGATGATGATAATGTCTATTATGGGACACTTTGAATTTATGAACGTCGGTTGAACGAGGGATTTTCTTAAAGTTGTTCAAATTAGCAGATAAAGCCTTACTTTCTTCAAGAGTAGTAATCACCTGAGTTTGGATAGCCGCTATTTGTCGGGTGAGTGCATCAAATTGTGAGGGGTTCATGTTTAAAGTAGTAAAGTGACAAGATGACCACTATGTAATTGTACGCAAAGCAATACTAGAGAAACCAATATGCATCAAGGACCAACAATTAAAACATCAATTTGAAATTCTCTCTCTCTCTTTTCTTCCCTTCCAAAAATGCAAGTTAATAGTGCTGATGCTTGTAAATAATAAAGCAAGGGTCCAATGCTTGTCAAGATCAAATGGTATTGTCAAGATTTCCAATCAGGTAGATAAAAGAGGTAACAATGGCACATCAATTCAGTGAGATAAATGGGGCAACAATGGCAAGTCAATTCAATGAGTGATTCCAGTCAAGTGAAGTTTGAGGCCAAAGTTGTGATAGTAACAGCAACACAAAGAATCTAAGTGATGCACTTTTAAAATAAAACAGCAGTATAAACCAATGAGAATTAGGAGATAGCAACTCCCTATAGTCTAGTTGCTTGAATTGCTAACGATTGGGCCTCTGATTTGCCTTTGTCAAATGTCTCCAGCTCCTGAACTCACGATCATTGCATATTCTAAATTGTTGGCTTCACTGAAATTGGACAGATGTTGAAATAGAAACCTCTGTGTAACTGAATGGGTTGCTTGGTAGTAGAGACAGTAAACTGCTTGATCAATGAAGTCGGTGGCTGGCTGCAATCCTTGAAGAAAGTTGTTAAACAATTGGGCCAGTGGTAGGTCACCTGCGATGATGCTGCTGTCGGTGGAAGGGCAGTTGCGGTTAATCGGCGTAGATACTGTGACGGCCTGGCTTCTGAGGAATTGATGCGTGAATGTGCCTGGGTAATGAATGGGTCTCTTCAATTGATGATGGGTGTGTGGGCTGCCGACGAAATTGAAGAATGGCCGATTGTAATTAAAGGGCAAGAAGATGGAGAAGTATAGTGGATTGTTGCCTATGTGAGGGGGATGATTGATTATTGCAGGTAGCGGCTTTGTTGATGTGGAAGGAAACGAGAGATGGGGCTGTAGTTGGTGACGACTGCGAGACGCCGCCGCAACGCTAGGGAAACTGCGCTGTGCTAGGCGAAAAGAAGAAGATGGTGTGAGAAGGATGACGTGAGTTGTGCGATACTGGTGCTGGCGGTGGAGATGGTGGGTCGTGAGTGGGTTTTCGGCTGAAGGTTCGGGCGATTGGGTCGCCGACTGGAGTATTGAGTTTCTGGAAATGGATTAGTGGGCTGGGCCTGGGTTTGTTGAGAGAGGGTCGGTGAGCTGGGTCATCGGTTTGGATCAAATAAGGAAACAACTACTGGGTTATGTTAAATGGGCTACGTAATTTTCTGGATGCTTAAGCTAGTTTAGGGTTATGAGGCTAGGGTTTTGAATATAAATCGGTAAAAATTGATTAATATTAAACAACAACAATAATAGAACTTGAGCAGCAGCGTGCAACAATAGACTTCTAAATGATAAAGACTTCAAATTTTTATTTTTTATTTTTTTATTTTTTACTGATTTCGGGTGAACAGTAACCCGAACAGTAACCTTTTTTTTTTTTTTTTTTCAAATAAATGAAAATTAGGAAAGTCTGTACAGGGGCTCTCACATGGAGGTGGATCCCATGTGTGTGCACCTGTACAGACCTATGCAAAAGGGTCTGTTAATTACTGTTCTAAGGTTTTGACGGAAGATGGTTAAAGGGTTTGGATGAGCAATTGGATGACGGTGTTGTGTATATTTTTGTGAAGATGAATGGAAAAATATCTGAAAGACAATTGAAATATTCCCAAGTTTTAGCTCTAATACCAATTTGATGTAGGGTGAATAATTCAATAACTATAACAAGAAGAGATGGGGGAAGGGGAGAGAAGAAGAAGAACATAGGCGGGGAAGAAGAGAGGAAAACGGTTGCAAGCCAACTTTATAATTTAATCAAATTCATCAACTGTCTTAAATGAGAAACAAAACAGAAATAAATAGCAGAACACAAACCCTAAAGAGAAGGGATTGGGCCAAACCCACTAAACAAGCACAATAACGAAAACATAAACAATGGTCCAAATAAAATATAACTAATAGTTCAAATAGAAAATAAATAATAAATGGATGTCCGCATCAGTTTCTTTTTAAATGGGACTGAAGTGTTAATGCTTCACTAGTTCCTTATTTCAAGTTTGATGGATTTTTTTCTGTCCTGCATTTTACATGTAGATCATGCATTTTTATAGGTTTACTTGCATAAAGGAAAGTACACGTATATTTCTGACTTTTCATTATTAGAATTTGGGAAAGAAGTCAAGGCTGCACAAGGACTATGCAAAACTGGGTAAATCAAATTATAAGACAATCTCCAACGCTCTAATATTTAACACAACCTTGTCAAGATTATTTTGTTTGTCCATGCACCACATGGACATTTAAGAATAAAATTTACACTAGAATTCAAAATTTGATGATAACTAGATAATTTATTTTATTTTTTTGTTCTCAATATTTGTTGCTGTGTTTTTTTAAACAGATAAACATTCCAGCTTTAATAAGGAAAACAAAAATTTGATGATAACTAGATAATTTATTTTATTTTTTTGTTCTCAATATTTGTTGCTGTGTTTTTTTAAACAGATAAACATTCCAGCTTTAATAAGGAAAACAAAACTTTCTGTGAATAGGGGTTCTTTGTGTGCATGGATGCCTCTTTACTCCCTTGATACTCCTTTTTAAGCAATACACCATGCTTCTAATATGTCAAATATCTTGTGTTATAGCTCCAGTGTCATGGCCTATTGTTGTTGCAAAGGATCTTCTTGCATTGGCCATGGGATGTACAAGTAGAACCCAAATTAAACAAATGGGCAATGAGGGTTAGTTTGTATTTTTTTGGTTGCTGCAAAGGGGTGCAGTTCATGTATGGAGCCTGCAGCAGTCGTACTTAGCTTTTATCTTTATATGAAAGCAAACAAAAGACTGGATCAAAATCACAATGAAATTACTTGGGCCTTTGAACAGGATGCTAAGCTAACATGCTACCAAAGTTGTTACATTTTTTGCAGTAAAGCAAATAAAAGAATCATTTTGATATCAAGATCATCTCAAAGAGCTGCATTGCAGATTGTCATATGAGATTGGGTTACAAATACATCTGTAACTTATCTGGCTATCAGTTAAAAGAGTTTTTTCTTTTCCAGACAGGCGTCATTTTTTTATTTTATTTTTTATTCTTGATGTTTTAATTTTTAAGTTAGCTGTTTCACATTTGTACCTTCTTATGGAATGTCTAGTACTGAATTTAAAACAATTTTCACATGTATTTCTTCAATCTGTTCAGGTATATTCTTTGACACTTATGGGGAGTATTATGAAGATATGAGAGAGTTTCACCAACATCTTCCTCAATTATTGAAGCCTGGAGGAATATATTCATTCTTTAATGGCCTTTGCGGTGGTAACCCCTTCTTTCACGTCGTTTATTGTCAATTAGTCTCTCTAGAACTAGAGAATTTGGGTTATTCCACTCAGTTTATACCTTTACCTGTGAAGGATTGTTTAGGAGAAGAAATCTGGGAGGGTGTGAAACACAAATATTGGCAATTGGATACATACTACCTTCCTGTTTGTCAGTGTATAGAGGATACTGAGTGATTTCTTTTATTGAAATTAACTTTTTCATTTCTGGAATTTAAATGGAGAAACATGTAGCATCAGACGAGTTGTAATAATTATTTTTGAAATGAAGTCTGAATAATTTGATTTAGATCGTATGACTTTTCACTCTCCATTTACTTATATTTTTTTCTTGTGTATGTGCATGGCCTGTGGCAAATAATGCTTGATATATATCAGGCTCTTTTGGATCGCTTGCTGCTTGTTTCAAATAAATAATTGTAGTTAAAAACTCGAAAAAATTTTCACAACTGATCATCAGTTTGCTGGGACATATAATCAAGGACTATCAAAATTTAGGAGGATTGGCATCTCTCTTTTCTGTGTACAAAAGCATCCTCCAAAATGAGATCCCATGGGATAAAATTGAAGAAACGAAAGCTAAATGATACTGCGGGGAGAGGGGCATAGGTGGGTGGGTGGGGATCCCCTGATCTGTAGCAAGTGAATGCGTTATGTTTCCCGTGAGTGTATTGGTCCTAAATCATGTTATAACATATTGGATTTGTCTAATTCTTTGGGATTTTGATTGAGTTCAGGAATTCCATCCATGAATCTTTCACAGATAGAACTAACATATCATAAAATATAATCACCATGCATTGCAAACCTTCACAATAGTGCTCTTCTTTTGGTGTGTTCTCTTTCTTTCTGTTTTACATATTTATGGGGGTGGGGTGGGACTTGTTTAATCTCCTTCGTCAGTTGCATATTAGCTCTATTCGAGTATATCTTCAATTTAAACAGTTGAAGACATTTAATAGAGAATTTATAGAGTGGTACAATATGTGCACTTGGGAGTTCGAGGTGCGTGATATTGAACTTCCATAATATCTGATTATTATAATTATTAATCACGACCAGCTGAATGCAATTGGGCTGCCAACAATGTGCTTTCCATCCATCCATTTCAAATAATCGAAGCTGGCTGTGCCTGATGGCATGGAACTTGCAGTGAATGTCACAGTGAAACTTTTCTTCTCATTTGGTTTGCTGAAAGTGAGCTCTTCCGGCTCAACCAGAATCTTCACTGCCTTCGTCTCCTGAGAGACTGAAACTTTGTAAGTTGCTGGGCTACCCACGTTTGTTAGGGTCCTTGTGTATTTGACCACTGTTGGTGCACTGCTTCCACCACCTGGGCCTGAGGCCGTCTCGAGAGGAACAGAAAAGGATGGGTAGTTAAGATATCCCACTCCGTATTCCTTGCCATCCTGGCAGGAATAATCCTGTTTTGTGATGGTTTTGATCATACTGGGACTATAGTTTATGGCACAGAAAAAGTCTATATAATTATCAATGGCGGCATCATAGACAAGACCTGGGTCAAGGGCTGATATGGGGTCCACATGTCCGGCGCCATAATCAAATGGTGTTGATTGCAATCCGGTTGCAAGATCTTGAATGCTTTCTCCATTCTTATATGTACTGTAAGCTGTGGTCATCAGTGCAGATTTTATCGCTGCAGGACTCCATTCTGGATGGGCAGCCATGATTAATGCTGCTAATCCACTTGCATGAGGGCATGACATAGAAGTACCGGAAACTATATTGAAGCCCACATGCCGAGAGTCTTCTTGCAATCCTGTCGGTCCAACTTTTCCCGTCCATCCTGCTAGGATGTTAACACCTGGTGCTATCAGATCAGGTTTAAGTACATCTGGTGTGATGGGGTTTGGGCCTCGGGAACTGAATGATGCTATGACAGGTGATGGTTGGACCCCGAGCTGGGTGCTTCCAGTTGCAACCGTGGCTGTTGGATTAGGTTCAGTGAAGACATACTTTTTTATGATGTCACCCGTTGTCTGACTAACAGCTGCTGTGGGTATGAGATGTGCATCAGCAACTAGCTCGTCTCCATAGGATTCAGTGTTTGCTAGAATCATCCCAACGCCACCTGCATTTTTTACTACCAAACCCTTCTGTGCCCTTGCATTCGTTCCTCGATCACAAATCACAATTTTCCCCTTGACTTTTTCTGGAATCAGACTTCCGGGTAAGCAAAAATTACTGTTGGATGTACTACTGACATTGCCAGCAACCACCAGTGGCATAAAGGAACTGGGTAATGGTTTTCCACTGTAGAGTGATGAACCAGGGAATTTTTTCCCATTTCCAAGGCTAATGTATGCTGGAAATTGACGGTCCATAGTTCCAGCACCAACAGTGGTTATCCATGGTGCAACATTTGACAAGCTTTCAGGGATGGGTCCTCCATTTCCAGCCGAACACGAAACAAGGATTCCTTGAGATGTTGCTGCAAATGCTGCAATTGCAATAACGTCTCTGTAGTAATCAGTTACTGAGCCACCTAAGGACAATGATATTATGTTCACACCATCTTCTATCGCCTTCTCCATGGCTGCTAGTATATCGCTGCTGAAACATCCACCAAGCCAGCACACTTTATATGCTGCTATTCTGGCATGTTTTGCCATTCCACGTGCTGTACCTGCAGCATAACCAAAGAGGCTTGCTCCAACAACAGTTGATCCAGCTGCTGTGGTTGCTGTGTGTGATCCATGGCCATCATCGTCTCTTGGGGATTTCGATTCCTCTGTCTCATCAATTGGTCCATATGCTGCTTCATACGCTTGTGAGAAAGACCTCGCCCCTATGAGTTTGCGATTACAGCTTGATTTGTAAAAGGTCTTGCCTACTTCACACTCGCCCTTCCAGCCCCCCGGGACTGGCCCGAGTTCCTTGTCATCAAAACTGCTCAATTCAGGCCAAACACCTGTATCTAACACCCCAATGATAACTTCACTCATCGTGTTAGACTCAAGTACAGCTGCATCGTTGAGAAGTCCAAGGAACTCAGGTGATCTAGTCGTATGAAGTTCGTATTTCACTTCTTCTTGGACTGATAGAATCCCCTGTTGCTCTTCAAGCAACCTGGCTTCCTCAGATGTCAGCCGTGCAGAGTAGCCATGGATGACATTATTGTAGTTGTAAAGCATATTGGCAGAGTCCGACACCACTTTTAAAGATGCGTCGTACCACTGCAGGTGATCTTCATAACTTGCAGGCATACTGGACTTGTCCATGTGAACGATGTACGTCTTGTGATGGTTGTTCGTCTCGTCTGCATCAACATATGCATGACAGATAAACAAAAGTGTCACCAAGAAAAGAAGCTTGAACCTGTTCATCTCCATCTCCGTTCAATCTCAATTCAACCACAGTTCTTCACTGGCAAATATGGTAAGTGTTAAGAGAGAGGTAAGAGACAATAGTTCTCCTGTATTTGGCATAGAGATATTGATAAATTATTCTTGAGTAGGAGCTCCCATCTAGACTCATATATATAGTACTGATTATTGCTTTCTATTAATCCTCAGCCTCTAGAAAATAGACTTTATGTTGAAAATCTGAAAAAGTTGCTATCTATTCAAGATTCCACCACTGATCCCTCAATCAAGTGATGTAACTGTAGGTTGATAAGAATCCACCTCATTTTTCTTTTTTCTTTTTTTATGTTTTTTTGGTGGGATAACAGAAACCACTTTTTTTTTTTTTTATATGAATTGATTTATCAAATTAAGGTAACTTTCCGTCGAAAGAGATGCTGTCCAGGTGTCTTTCCTTTACTGAGCATCGTGTTTTTTTCCTGTAAATTATAACATGATTTACCTATTGTCTTAATTTATGGTATTTGAGTGTTAGAACTCTTAAGAGGGGAAATGATTCATTAACTGAACGAGGAGAAATAAGGCATTAAAAATGAATATGAGGACATGTTAGAAAGGATAAGATGTGAGAATATTTGTCAACCGTGGAGATGATACTTATTGAAGATAATTATGAGAACAATTCAAATGGTTGAGATGTTGTGTAGAAGTTAATATTCATACGAGTGATGTGATATTTACTGGAAGTGAGAAATCTATAATATAATGTGAGGGATGCTTGATATACATCAAGCTTATTCACAGAAGCCTATCAGAACAAACACATAGAGGCGTGAATGAGGTATTTTTTGGCGAAAAAAAAAAAATTTCCACGGTGAGCCGCACATCACGAGAGTATTTTGGCGATCTTCTGTGAAACTTTGTTCTGTACATATGGATTAATTGATATAATGTAATGCCAATTAGAGGCTAGCAGTTTACACCAACTCAAAATTCACATGGTTTTTGTACATTATTTTATGTTGAAAACCACTTAGAATGACTGAACATGAATGTGGCTTATTAATCTCTCTCTCGTACACACAGTTTCTAGGCGCAAGTTCTATCCTCGTTACGTTGTTAAAGTATATTTATTGTTAGATTTGATAAGAGTAAATGAGACTTTAATATATTACTTATGACTTGACTTACCTTCAAATTAATTATCCTAAGAGGTTCGAATATGTGATTAGAGGTGCCAATGGATCAGAGTTGTTAGTCGGCTCATGAGAGCTTGTTACATGAATGGCTCAAACTCATTTCACTGTGAGCTTTGGGTCAACCCGAGCTTGAATTTCGATCAAGTGAGTAGAGTTGAATCAAGCCGAGCTCGGCCCTAGACATTGTGGGTTTTGCAAGCTAATCCTGCATTTTTAATATTTCTTCAAAGTCTATTATAAAGAAAAAAAAATTCGTGAATTGGCCCAACTCGGCTTGTCGCACGTAATGCTCAGGCTCTTTGATCAACGAGTTGAGGTCCAACTATCCTAGATGTAGGTGAGACGAACCACCCTTGATTTGACCACTGTAACCCTTATTATTATTTATTTATTTTTATTTTTTATTTTTTTGATATCCAAGTATCCCATCTTACACTAGACTAAATCTTGGACCTCCAAGACCCATGCCCTTAGAACCTTGGAGGGGGTAAATCGTGGGTTATGCCTCAACTGGATCACAAGTTCCTCACATTGACTGTACACTTCTGCGTACAAGAGACCCTCCTCCACAGTGATTGCTCCATACCAAATTTTTGACCGCAGGTTCCCACCAAGAATCGAACTCTCCACCCTGCCGCTAGAAGCAAGTCAATGTTGATTGATCCACCAGTTGAGCTGTGCCCCGATGGGCGTAACCCTTATTATTATTATTATTCGAAGAGATTACATTTGTGAATATTATATTCATAATGGGTGACCACCATGTGTCGCCGTCCATAATTATTGTCCACTGCCGAGTAATGGTCGGACCACTAAACATCACGCTCATTGATAAATCGACGGCAAAGAGAGTGATTTCAGATCTCTTCTTCACCATTAATTTGTAAATCTGATAAATTAAAGTTTTCTAGATGATAATTCATGTGTGCATCAGTGCTTCGTTTTTGATGTTGAAAAGGAAAGGGCTTTGAGATTGACATTAGACAATTATAATTTAATAATAATTGTGGGTGGGCATCGCAATTAGCTGGAATGACCCTACAACGAATTATTGACATTGTGAAATAAACAATTTTACTAGGTTCAACTTTTGTCAACATACTTTAACAAAAGTGAGTACTGGTACGATGCATTATTTATGATTGGACACATTGGATAAAGAACAACTTGCTATATATTTCATATCCCCAAATTCCGAGCCTAGCTTGTGCCTTTTTTTTTTTTTTTAATTGTACTCGAGAAATAATATTATTTGTAGTCGTTTACTGTCGTAGTCATCTTACGTGGCATACATGTGTCGGTTAGTGATTTGATGCATTAATGCGATAATTTTTTATTATCTCATGCACCAAATCACTAATCGTCACAAATATGCTAGTGGAGTGATTGCAATAGTGAGCAACTATAAATAGCATCGTTCATACTTCAAGAGTTACCTGTTGAGCTTTTATATTTCTTTTCATCCTTAAACTCACCTCCTTATATTTTTCTATTTGTTTCATAATCGATTGTAAAAGGAATTGATGAATGAACCGTTCATGTCATGTCTAGTGTGATATCAAATAGATCCTGCGCATTTTTCGTCCATTATAATTAACTATAGATGTATAAAATGCAAGATTGTGTCGTCCATGATAAAAGTTGCTCTATAGATAACATGCTAATTTTTTCTCAAAAGGATGACAAATCTCAAATTAGGTATTGATGAGCACTTTGAACCATCTATATAGTTAAGACAATTGTAGCTAAGTGAGGTGTAATTGAAAATGTGGGCATACTGCATGGTTATATATCATTCGTTCGTGTCATTAGACAATCGATAAATTCCCGCAACAAATGCAATCCTTATGTTTATTTAGGGTGCGTCTGGTTTGCATTTATGTTTTTCTATTTTCAATTTTAAATTCATTTTCTATTTTCCATTTTGAGGAATTATTTTAAGATTGCAGAAAACATGTTTAGTTTGTCATTCTGAAAAATCGTTTCTCAAAACAAAAAACTAGAAAATGCGTTTGATTTAAAAATTTTAGAAATAGTTTTATAACTTTCTTTTTCAATTAATTTGATTATTTAGTCAAGCATATCAATTTTGTGCTAATATGTGATTAAAAAAAACACAAATTTTAAAGTTGGTAAAAAAAAGAAAAAGAATCATTGTAAGTATATCTTTAATAATCGCATCAAAATCATACGTAGATGAGAGAGGAAGAGAGAGAGAGATGGGTACTTGTATTTGAATAGTTTATGTGTAGTTTTATTTTCTAATACGACGCACTTTACAAAGGATGGGACAAAGAACAAGTGGTTGTCTTGTCCATTCCACGATGGCTAGTTAGGAAAAAAAGTATTTGATAGAGTAGTGTCATTCAGCCTGATTGGTATTTGACACTAGTTTATGCAATGATAAGGTTATTGCCATATTGTTGAATGTGTGAAAATGAATTATAATTTTATTGGACTACATGACAATGACCTCATAATCACATATATAAATTGATGTTAGTAACAGTAAAACTAACAAGAAGAGTGAAAGCGAAGTCACCTAATCTTCGATCACCTTGATCAAGAAAGATTGGTTAGAAGCACTTTTCAGGTTATTGCATCAACAAGAAATCTATTAAATAAAGGTACTAATGTCGTTCTATCAAAGAGGTCTTCCAAAGGTGTTAAAAGTGCAGCATTTCCTGGGAAAGAAAATGAGTCTTGTTTTGTTCAATTTGACCATTTTGTGGACACACCCTGGGATTGAAACCTCTTGTTCTTTTGCTAAGACAGGAGCTTTTCATGCCTTCGAAGATGACTTTTTGACCTCTAGACTCACTTCTACAACTTTTTCTATTAAGTGACAAGGGTATAGGAGTGGCTCTTTCATCCCCCTAAAAAATGCGGGAGCTAAACAAACTTGATCCATCATTTTGTTTGCTAATATTTAACATTTTGTATTGAATATATCTATATTTTTGAAGAGTTTTACTATAGACACTCGGACGTACATCTTAGGTGACATAATGTGCAAGCGACATTTGGTCATTGGCTAGTGAGGAAAAAAAAAAAAAATTCTACCAACCAATGACAAAATCTCACTTATGCATTATGTACCTTAGGGTGTACACATGAGTGTACAAGTAGAATAATCAATTTTTGAAAGTATATTGTTTTGTGCTCAAAATCGTAGTAGCCTCTTTTTTCTTTCTTCCTTATTTTTTGAAGTTTGATTGGCAAATAATCTATCTTTTCAAATTACCTTTGGACTCGAAATTTTCATGGCCAACATTTTACTTTTTGGTCCATCAATAATTTATTAGCCAGCTTCTATCTAATAAGCCACTAACGTGGCAGATCTAAAGCATATCAGCACTTAAATAAAGAAAATCGGAATGAAGATAAGAAAGAAAACAAGGAAAAGAAAACTATGGCTTTCATCCTCTATCCCCACACCGCCCTCCCCTCGTGATTGTGCTTATTGTATATATGCGTATGATATTCGTAAATAAGTGACGATAAAAGACAAAAGTTTAACTCCGAGGAGTATTTCAGTGATTAGACCTTGAGTTTCTCTCCAATTATCATCAGTTCGAATCCTCTTAGGATCATTGGTACGAGAGCACCCGACTATAAACTTCAAAATCCCGTGGAATTAGTCGAGGTGCGCGTAATCTGGCGCGAACATCCAATATCATTAAAAAAAATAAAGAAAAAAAAGAAAGAAAGACAATAGCTTAACTAATGTATTTAGTTTGATCTAATAACACGTTTACTATTACAATTGAAAAAATTATTCAAATTTTATCTTCAACGAGTTTGTCATTTTACTACTAGTCTTTCGTTAGCGTAGGAAAAAAGATAACAATAATTTCCATTAATTATAATATTAGGTGTAGAAGTGGAAGATGACATGATTGTGGACATCATTACTAGTTGAAGACTTTTGTGCAGTCAGTTATTAAAGTTTGTATTATCAAGTGTCCCACCATTGTCTTCAATAATGGTCATCACTGTAATTGAGTTTTGCAAAATGCTTCTCTCTTTGGACCCTGAACAAAGGAATAATTCAGTATTTATTGCTTGTTTGGTACATATTTTAAGTCAATTAAAATTAATTTTTTGATCGTTATTTCATTATTTTAGTCATTATTTTTGAATTATTCTCTCACAGGTAGAACTAGGACTGTCAATGGATTGAATTTTGATCCGAATCCAATAAAATTAATGGGAGATAGATTTAGGATCTCAGTCCGATAATCCGATTAAGATCTGAGTCTAATAATCCGTTAACTAAATGGAGCAAATATGGATATAGATCGATCCGATCCGATTTATTATAATAATAAAATATATTTTATTTATTTTATCATAATCTAGTAAACATAATTTTTTCCATTTTGAAACTTATATTATGCTTCACACATAATTTTCAAATAATAAATAATATTACATAATAATATAATATTGTTAATTGAAATATTTGAAGAGATTTAATTTTTTATTAATTAAAATAAGATAAAACTAATTATAGTAATTTGTTTTGTAACGTCAAAAACCAATAATTAATATGTCCAAGAAATTATTTAAATTGATATTATTTGTGATTATAATCTTGTGGAGGCTATGATTTTTAATGAAAAGAATAAAATAAACTAGAAATACTTAGAATTGACAAATTGACTAATATCCCACATTGAAATATTACTAAAATATTGAAAGAAGAGTATCCTTTAAAAAGTTAGTATCCCACATTGAAATACTATTAAAACATTCTAAGAGGCGTCTCCTTTAAAAAGGAACTAAAGAATCATCACTTAGATAAAAAATTGATTTGGGCATTCTAGTATGATAGATGAGTCCATCAAGATAGTTAAAATATTTTTTGGGAAAAAAATCATATTACCCGAAAAAATGGTGGAAAAATATTTTTTTTTTTTTAAATTCGGATCGGATTATCGAATAGGATATTTGATAACATAGAAAATGAGATATGGATTTAACAATCAAATATCCATTGGATTATCGGATTGGATCAGATAGGATAATTTTCTTAACGGATGAGATCTGATTTGGGTAGATTTGCTCCATATTCGATCCATTTACAGCCCTAGGTAGGATCCATTTTATCTCTAACGGTCAAAAAATCAATTAACCAAATCCCTACCAAACAAACACTTACTTTAGATGAACAATAATTCATGTGTTTATAGATGTATATCAATCACAACCTTAAATAATCGACCTAAAAGTTAGAAATTTGTCTTTATTGAGTCTTACATGGTGAATGACTTTTAAACTGCAATAAATAGGATTCTTGCAAGATTATTATATCACATTTAGATCCCGTTTGTTTCTCATTTTTGTAAAAATAAGAATGAAGAATATATGCGTTATGGGCCCCATACAAGAGATAGAAATTCAAATTTGATGGCTTGATGTGATGGATAATGGTCATATTTTTCATTTTAATGAGGGAAGAATGGGAAACAAACAGGAGCTTAGTCCTTGTTTCGATTCCATTTTAAAGAGGTTTTAGGAAAAATGTATTTTGTAATAGTGGTAAAAGGAAGGAAAATTATATATATATGTTGCGGATGAAGCCCAACAGATGGATTCAATATATATTTCTGTTAATTAGCCAAAAAATTGGATTTTAACCACAATTTAATCAATTATAAAAGGACAAATTGATAACTTTATATACACACACATAAATATGTACAAAAACTTGAATAAAAACAGAAAAAAAAAGAAAAGAAAAAAATAAAAGTAAAGGGGAAAATTATATTCTTCTCCCTTACGCTTACCCTTACCCTCACCACTCAAAACCGGCCCCCCATTCATCACCACCTCCAACTCCATTGTAGGGAACTAAAAAGTAATATCCAAAGGAAAAAACCTTAAATTTAGAAAAAAAAAAAAAAAAAATCATATGGGACCACATCCATGAAAGAAATTGTTCTAAGCAAGGCCTTTAGTGCATGCTTTGTAGTTTGGGGACAATCAACTTGGATTCCAAAATTATGGAAGAGATAAAAAGGCACAGAGCCATGGTATGCAAACCATTGTTTGAATTTCAATTTCTCATGCTATTGATTTTGATTTTGGGGTTGGGTTGGATTTGTTGGGGTGGTGGTGGTGGTGGTGGGGGTGGTGGTGGTGTCGGGGCGATGTGTGGTGGAATCCATGATCTTGATTTTGATGTTGGGGAGGGATTGGGGGTGTGGGGGTTGGTGAAGAAGAATACTATATTTATTTCCTTTTATTTATTTTCTCGTTTTAGTATTTTATTATAATTAATTTATTTGTTTAATGTGATAAATATAAGATTACTATTTTACCATTTTCTAAATTATTTAAAAAAAGGTCGAAGTCCAATTTTTTGATCAACTGATAGAAATATGGATGAAATCCGTCCGTTGGGACTTTATCAGCAACATTTTGAAATGTTTGGGTGATATGATTACAATAAATGAAACGTTAGGAAAAACTCAGCAACCTTTTCAAAGATTTGAGGTTTCAACTGCAATTATCCCTTAATAAAATGATGGCCATTGTTCCACGTGAACTCTAATAAAAATAATTCGACAAGAGAGTTAATGAGACATACTCTACAAACTCTAGAGGTCGAGTTTTCACACTATAATCAAAATTTTCTCTCACATTTCTCCCACTGGTTTTTGGTTTCTTTGTCGGTGTTTGTTACCTCGATCATTTTAAGACTAAATATCAAAATCCCCAATGAGGTACGCTCTAACTTTATGATAATACTTCTAAAAGTGGAGATTAATGGTTCAATTTTAATCAAATATGCAACATAATCTAATTATGGTAAAGTCTCACAACATAACTCAACTAAAATTTGCAAAAAAAAAAATAATAATAAAAAAAAAATAATAATAAATAAATAAATAAATAAAATCAAATGTGATTATTGGAACTACTAATTTTTATTAACTACACAAAAAAGACAGCAATAAAGCCATGAGTACAAATTTTTTTTAACAGAAGTTGTATCGATAATGATGTGGCAAAATATGATTGGACTTTTTTTTTCTTTTTTTTCCCATCCTCCAATGATGTCGTGCCATGTGTTGCATGTAAGATTTTTCTGTCAAAAAACCCTGTACCTATAACATTGTTCAAAAGAGAGATCTTTACAAACTTGAGAGGTCAATTCTTCACATTAAATTGTCCCCTCATTACTCTTAACACGATTGGATTGCAAATCAATAAAGTGGATCAAAATTTAATTTCCATCCAATTTAATCAATTTTCCCCCGACATTTTCCTTAATGTTTGGTACTAACGTTACCCCTCTACCCATTTCTTGACTTTAAGTCGTGACAACACTTCAAGACCAAAATCTACCACGACGCACATACGAATTATATCATTGAATCGAGATGTGTTGTTTTATCATTAAAATTTTGACACGTGAATATAATTTATCAAAATTCGAGATTATTTCCAAAAGAATCTCTAAATACAATACGGTCTCCACTTTAGGGAGTTAATTGTTAAAAATGACATACAAGAAATTTTCTATTTTAACTTTTTAAAAATAGATAATGAGTTTGATTCTCATAATTTGGTGAGCCAAATTCATTCTTAATTCTTGATTTACCATGATTGCATTTAATGATGAACAAATTTCAATACTCTATTTCTTAAATTATTTAAATCATATTTGATAAATTGATGATTGACATATAAAAATATGTTAAATAAATTTTAAGAGAAACCGATAATTATTTCTTGAGGAAAGCAAAAATGAAAAGCCAAGATAGAAAAAATTGTTGAAGTGTATAAAAGAATTTACTTTGTTAATTTAAAGATAATTTCTATTATGTATAAATTCCTCTTTATAAATAAAAAGTTTCTAAAAGATACTCCGAGGTGTCCAAAGTTTAATGGTGAGATAGTAAAAAAGAACATCAAATTGAGACTAGTACAATATAATCCAATTATTATAAAGTCTTCAAAAATAACATTAGGTTAAATCTTGCATAAAATCGGTAACGATAAACGGTACTACTAATTTTTGTTATAAAAATTCGATTATAATCCTTATCAAATAGGGACTAAATGTACAATATTCTTTAATAAGTATTACTTACCTTATAAATTTGTATTTTGATCAATTTGTTACTCTTATTGAAACTCTGGATCTATTGTTATAATAAAATTAGACTTTCCTTTTGATTCTCTCAATTTCTTCGCTTTTTTATTTCACTTTTAATGCGTTATCAGTGTGATAACTTTAATCTAATCACTATTAATGATAGGCAACTCTTTTTCTTAAGTGTCCATTCCTCTGCATATGTATTTATATGTTATTAAATTAAAAGCACTCACATATTCAATTCTAATCTCTACATACGAAATTTGCCCATTAGATAATCCTAGTGCTATCATTTGAATTATATATCATTCAATGCAAATATATATGACATTAAGCGTGCATTGAAATTCTTATAATAGGTATTTGATTTAAATTAGAATTGCACTTGACGTACAAGGAGAGCCTTCACAAGGACCGTAAGGATTACACACAATGGAGGTGGGGGTGAGTGGGTTAATTTTTGGCCCTTTTTTATTTAGGTGGGGCCCATCCTTTGTGAGAGATCCTATCAGGTTTTGTGAACCCGACTTCTACACAGTAGGAAAAATTCTTTAAATTATTGCATATAGACTATGAATTGCCAAAATATTTGTTTGTACAATAGTACAACTACTCAATGAAATATGATTGTTAAGGTTCTATTTGGTAGGGATTTTTTGTCTTAAAAAATTGATTTTTTGACCGTTATTTTACTATTCAAGCCGTAATTTTTGATTTCTTCTCTCACATGTGGATCTTACTTTTCTTCTAACGGTCAAAAAATCAATTTTCAAAATTCCTACCAAACGGGCCTAAAAAAAAAAAAGAAAGGTATGTTGAAAAGATCATGTAGAAGGAGCAAACAGCCTTTACAGAGTCTATGACTAGGTGCTTCAAATTTCAAGAAATGGTCACCAATATTCCATTGGCCCACCCACATGCCAGAAGTTAATTCTATAGCCATCTTTGTCTAATTGATGTAGCCATAAAACAATGTACAATAATATAAATTGCTTCATTTCAAATCATAATGTCATGTACATAGGTTTGATTGGACAAATATCATTTAATAATTTTAAGATAGCCCATCATTTTGTCGTCTAGTAACTTCCTTTTCAAAGTTATTTCTATTATTTATTGTAATGCTTCGTTATTTTCAACATTACAAATAAATTTTATGGTTTATGCGTGCACACAAGAATTGCATCAATGTCGAATCAAGACTAGTTTGGATCTGAAATAGGCTTCAATTCCTTGTTACAGAGTATTCAACTACTAAAGAGCAATTAGTATGAAATATATGATAATATGTAGAAATATGTACCCCACAATAAAATATGTGAAGAATGACGAATTGTTGATAAAAAGACTTCTATGATATGGTTAGACTAGAGTTGAACAACGAAATCGCCAAATCGTCAAATTGAAACGAAATCGCTTTCCTGAAACCGTTGGTTTGATTTCAGGTGAATCCATCAGCATTTTAGTTTTGAACCGAACCAAATCGTCTTGAAGTGGTTTGATTTAGGTTTTAACCTTTGTAAACCGTTTCAAACGGCGATTTACATGAAACAAAAACAAAAAAAATGAAAGAAAAGAAAAATTTGAAAATAAATTAATCTAAATTTCATTTAACCCAATTAAAACTTTAACATATTTCAGTTAAAAAGATATATACAAATTAGACATAATTCAATTAAACTCAATTTGTCAATTATACATCTCAACTAATTAATTAATCATATCCAAATATCCATCAGTCATAACAGCTGTGAAGATAAAACTCTCAAATTGGGTGAAGTATTAAACAACTGCTGTTAAACCATATTCATTGATCCTCCATTATAGTTGAGCAGACAATAAAATCTAGATTTTAATTCAAACTTGCATTTTTCATTTACTTTTAATAATTTTCTCAAATTTTGCTTAAATTCAAATCAGGTACCAAAATTCTTTTATCTTTTGGTAATTGTTTTCTATATCTTTACTGGTATTTATGTTGTTTTATTCTAATAATTGTTGGGCTCCCTTAAAATAATTCGCCAATATTTGGATGGAATGAAAGTTTTGAATGACTCACAAAAAGTCATAATAGCTAGGTACTATTGTATTTGAATTTTTTTTTCATTTTCTTTTATTAATAATTTTATATCATTTAACTATAATCAATAAATTTATGTACTAAATTTTTATATTTATGAAGAAAACTAATCGAGTATTACAATTCCAGATGGATGCCATTAGTATTGCACAAGAGTTTAAAATATTTATATCATGTTATTGCATTGTAATGATTATAGTTATATAAATTTGATTTAAAATTTTTTAGGAATGCAATTTATTTTTTAACTTGAAATTTTAGACTAAAGTCATGTTTGAGCCTCATTAATTTTGAATAATGTATTATAGAATAGTAGATTAATAGAGAATGTGTGGTTAAAAAAGAAAAAAAAATTGATTTGCTTGTAATTTTATTTTAATGAAGTATGTGTGGTTGAAAATGAGTACTGTAGAAAAAAAATGTGATAGAATGAATACCAAACAAGGGCTAATATTTATGATTTAACTTATTTGATACATATTAATTATTTCTTTGTTAAACCTTGATTTTGAACCGAACCAAACCAAAAAAATGGATTGGATTGGATTGGTTTAGTTTAGAAATCGAAGTGATATGTTTGGTTTGGAAAAATTTCAAACCGCTTTAAATGATTTGATTTGAAAATTTATCTCAAACTACTCAAATCGAACCGTATTCACTCCTAAGTTAGACATATAGAATATACACTAAAAAGTACAATTATACAAATATACGAAATGACAAAAAATTGTTTATCCAAAATCAATCTAAATTAGAATAAAATTGTTTATCAAGATATCCAAAATTCACAGTTTCTAAAATGAACCAAATCTTTACATAAAACTGAAAGTTTCCTCAATTGTAGAACATTGAAACTTGATGTCTCAATCCCTCTATATCAACCAGCTACTACTTTAGAAACCCACTCAAGATGGGTCGTTTTGGTGGATTGAAGCAAGAATGCATGTACAATTACTCGATAATTTAGCAACAAAAAAAAAAAAAAATTAAATAAAACTCAACATAGGTCTACACAACATTGTGAACTAAGATAACATTCATTGTCGATGAAGTTGACATATTTTAACTTGATTCTTTAATAATATTAATTTACATCTTGAAATGATTCTTTGGTTGGAGATATCTATGTTGATAATTAGACCAGATAATTTGTCCTCTTTAATTTTTTTCTATTAGAACCTTCAAATTACCCAAGTTACACGTTGAGCTCTAACTTGGGACTCGTAGAGTTCTTAGTTGGGAATCATAAAGCTCTCACTTTGGATCATATTCAATCTCTAGTACTTGTAGAGCTGTCACTCGGGATTTTATTCGACCTATGTTACTCGTAGAGCTCTCACTTAGGACTCGAGCTTTCAATTCTGACTTGGAGTCTTATTCGACGTGCCTTGATTGCTTGGTCTTGCATTTTATCAAGACAACGATTCGTACCATTTCATTGATCAATTGCTTCTTTTTGAAACGAACTTTGCAAAAAGTAGTCATGCGAAATAGTATCACTACCTAATTCATCAAGCACACTTCCCCCCTTCTCCCCCAGCATGCAACAGCCCTATATAATGGATTACCGAAACCAGCAAGTCCTGCACCTGCATCATATGCTTCATTTCTTTGCATGAACCAAACATTTCCTATTCCATGAGGTCGTGAGCACTAACATTTAGATTTTCGACTCCTGTTCAAGAATTTCTTATTTATATTTCTTTATTGATATTCTTGTTTGCATTTAGTTATATGAAATGATGGGGAGGTATAATGTGGTTTCGTGGAGTCTGACTTTAATGGTTGCAGTACTGTGTATGGAGCTTTATGGTTATGTAGCTGTTGAAGCTATTGGAGATGGAGGGCTTATGCTTTTCAAAAGCTACAATATGGAAAATATGCACAAAAGGAAGTATGATCAAAAAGGTGCTGATGTGGGGTTAACTGTTGGTTTTGGGAAAGGCAAGGGTGGTGGTGGAGGATATGGATCAGGTTCTGGTGGAGAAGGGGGAGGATTTGGTGGTGGGTTTGGAGGAGGTACTGGTGGCAGTGGATATGGCCCTGGGGGTGGGAGTGGTGGTGGTTTTGGTGGTGGAGGTGGAGGAGGAAACGGTGGTAGTGGATATGGTTCTGGAGGTGGTAGTGGTGGTGGTTTTGGGGGTGGAGGTGGAGGAGGTAACGGTGGTAGTGGATATGGTTCTGGAGGTGGTAGTGGTGGTGGTTTTGGGGGTGGCAGTGGCAGTGGAGGAGGCAATGGTTATGGTTTTGGGGGTGGTATTGGTGGTGGTTCTGGGGGTGGCAGTGGTGGAGGCAATGGATATGGTTCTGGGAGTGGTGGTGGTTTTGGGGGTGGCGTTGGTGGAGGCAATGGCGGTAATGGATATGGTTCTGGAGGTGGAACTGGAAGTGGTAGTGGTGGTGGTGGATGGAGTAATGGTGGTAGTGGTATTGGTTCTGGTTCGGGACCTAATGGTGGCGGAAGTGGCTCTGGCTCTGGCTCTGGCTCTGGCTCTGGCTCTAATGGTGGAAGTAGAGGATAACGATGTGGGAAAGGGCTCGGGTAATGTAGAAGGAACATCCTTTACAGGCAAAATCTCCAAACATCACTAGTGCTGTTAGAATATAATGCTATTAAAATAAGGATATGATTATTCTCCAAATAAAAGCAAAAGTATTTCTTCTGCCACCAAATATGCAATTTTTGACTCAAAATATATAGATTTTGAGAAGAAACTTGAATCATCACATCAGCCAATATATATTTATAAGACAGTTGACATGTACAAATTCATTTTGTATATCATATGCATAAACGCCCACAGAAATATCAAGTAAAAGATTTTAATAGAAATCCAATCTTGATCACACAGAGCATGCTTCTGAAATCATGGACTTACTTGATCCTTTCCATTCTTTTCCTGAAAAGGGAAGGAAGCACGTAAAGCGTAAATTTCACAAGCAAATTCATTGCGTACAAAATATTTGAAACACGGACTAATGGGAGTTGTTTAACTGATTTCTTCTTGTAATTTCTTACTACGACGCAGCAAAGACCTCCATGAAATCACAAGATGCAACATTTATGGAGCAAGACTAGCTTCAGCGCAGGCAAGAAAAATATATGGTATAGTTGTTTCTTTTTTATAATTCTCTCCTATAATTCCATAGACAGATCATGACAGATGCACTTATTTCGAAATATAATGATAACAATTTCTAAAAGACCAGAGTTGTAAAATAAAATCAGAGCTATAGTTTATTAATCACCTTATACTCTTTATCTATAAGAGTTTGGAATGGGATAATACCCTAAACTTCAGTTTCAGTTATTTAACAAAAGTCAGTTTTGAAAGAAAATTTTAGACAAATGGTACAACTTTTGAAAACTACAAGCTACTGAATTTATTATCCATCCAGCAGGACAATAGGCAAAAATAGGCTTCATAAATCAAACCATACGACTATAGCAACTTTTGAAAGTGTTTGGTTAATCCGATTTAAAGTGAAGTATGGAATGGTTCAATAATCACCTTCTCTGTAGAGTTTGCACCCATGCCAGGGTCACCTTTGTCAGTGACACTGTTCAGTTCCTCTTTCCTGAAGATGAATGAAACAACTAGCAATGAGACATGAATGTCCAAATGGAAATTCAACATTGACCCTGAAATTCTTCCACAAGCAATCGAGAACTTGAAATCCATGACTAACCTTTCATCTTCTCTTAACTGGGAATTGGAGTTACTAGGTGTTCCAGAACCTTGCATATCATCATCCTACAGAAAGTTTTAACCAATACTCTAAAGCACATATTAACGTAAAGAAGTTAATTGTTTTTTCCTATTAATCCAAGCAAATTCTTACAGCACTGTAATTTTGCATCCATCCAGGTACAATATCTGACAAAATTTTGATATATTGCTCCATAGCCGCCTCCTGATTCATGCTTCCTAGACTTTGCCACGCATTCCTTGCACAATGGAATTAGCGCCCCCATCACTCACAAATAGCAGCTTTCAACCCTGTTATATAACTAGCAATCAAACTATACCCTGAAAGCGTTTCAAGGGCGGTCCTAAGGTTTTCACTGCACTATTGTCCATTAGAATTTTGACAAGTTTCTTAATTTTGTACTATCATGTTCCCAAGTCAAATCTAGTTCCATCATGGAAATTCCAAGCCATAATGGCACCCTTTTCAAACCCCAAAATATGTAAACTAAACTGAAGAAGTATTGATCAAAACAAGTAGTTATGCCATGGCAAATCTAACTGCATTTTAGATTAATTTATTCATGACTTGCAGTATTGTACATCGTCATGGAGTTTGAGGACGAAGAAATAAAGTTCCCACCAATTCATCAGTCGAGGGAGTACCCTTCATAATAGTATGTACACTCTTACAGGTTTAAAGTTTACTGATACTAATGCTTTAACATATTGTTTCAGTTTTGCATCAATTTTTTGAGGATTTGTGCTACATTTCTTCCGATTGATCTACATCAAGGACTGATATTCAGAATTTTTACCTTCTGTCCTACTTTCATTCGTCCATCCATCAATCATACTTACTCACAGCCTAAGCATTAATCCAGATAAGAAAAACTAAAATGCCCAAAAACATACATTTATAGGAAATATCAATCAATATAGATATCTACAAATCGATAGTAAGATCAAATACCATTTGGCACGCGAAGACACCTTGAGTGCCATGGGTTGAGGCTCATGACATGGCCCTTCTACTGCAACCTTATGAAGCCCATACAACTGCATCTGCACATTGCTTAGCAATTTCGCCAGCCGATCATTGTCTTTCCCCTTACCCTTCCCTCCATACTCCACATAGTTAACAGCCTCTGCAAAAACTTTATCCAGATCACTCCTCTCTATCCCCTCCCAGTCATCATCTTCATCATCAAAATTCTCATCTTCCACATCCCCTTTCATCAATTCATCATTTCCTCCCAAACCCCCATTCCCATTCCCTTCTTTCTGATCAGTCTCAACATCGTGATTCTCCAGTTCTTCTCCATTTTTCTTCGCCCTGAAAATTACACCATCCAGACCACCACTCACTAAAGTATCCTCCTTTTCACCACAAATCTCACCTATTTCATGACCTTCATCAGTCTCGACATCGCGATTCTTCAGTTCTTCTCCATTTTTCTTCTCTCTGGAAATTTCACTGCAAATCTCACGTATTTCATGACCTTCATCAGTTTTCTCAATCAACATTCCAATATATTTAGACCTTTTATCTTCATCAACAGTATCTTGCATCATCCCAGAAATTTTAATTTCAGAATCTCTATTCAATTCCTCCTCGCCTTCAAATTGATCAACCATTTTTGCAATTTTTTCATCCTCACTCTTTTCTTTAACAATGACTTCCCCCACAGACTCATCCAAACACAATCCAAGATTTTCAAACCCTTTTTCACCCTGATATTGATCAATCTTTTTAATTACAACGTCACCAGCAAACTTAACTCTCTTTTTACTTTTCGTCCTCCCCACTTTCAACCCATTCACCAACTTCGCTTCCTCAACACTAAATATAGCAGTTTTTCCATCATCAGAGGAGTTAGAAAAAGCAAGTGAAACAAATTTCATAATTGCTAAAGAGAAAACAAATGCCAAGAAAGCTGTCAAAACCAGTTCTTGAAAAAAGTCCATGGTTCTTGGTTGATCAGAGTCTTGATAGGCTATCAGAACAGAGGAAAAGGAAAAGGACTTCGGAGAAATGTAAAAGTAGCGAAAGTTTCAAGAAACAACAAGAAAAGAATTAGAGAAAATGATTGAAAAGTATAACATAGATGATCACAGCAACAAACACTATACAACTCCAATATTTTTTTATTAAAATTTCAGAGAGGATATTTACAGGGCAGAGCAAAGCATATTCTTTTAATTTTCTCTTTACTTTTCGTGTTCGTGATTTGTACCATGGGAATATTTTGGTGGGATGATGTGACGTGGGGTCTATATCATTTGCCAAACTAAGACGAAAAGTACCAGAATGCGTCTAATTCCCAGCAAGAAATGGAGATCTAGTGCCACGCAATACATACTGGCGTATCTGTTCCCTCACCCTATTGGACCATATTGCTCAATTTTCATCTTACTTGTGAATTAGAATTACATTTTTTTCCCTGTTTCTTATTCATTTAAAACGTGAATTTATAGGTGTAAAAGTCAATTAAGCCATAATAAGTAGAGTTGAACGACTTAAGTAATTTGAATTTAGGTGAATTGGTTAAACTAATGACTTGATCATTCGATCAAGATTATACTTGTTCAAGACATTTTGATCGAACTCATTTATTTATTACCACAAGCATAATTACTGTGTTAAAAAACTTTCGAACTTTCTTGTGTTAAAATTATTTAACATATTCATCATCAGTCCTCAAAAACTTTCTTGAATTCGAATTTTCGAACTCTCATCATCTTTCCATTTTCCTCCTCAATCGTGTTAAAATTATTTATTAAAAAAATTTGAAACAAAGTGTTCCTCTAAATAAAAGGTTGAAAGCTTTTTAAAAGAGAAACAAACTGAGTTATATAGATATATATATATATATGTATAAAACATCATGAAATGATTTATTTTATTATTATTAAGGAAAAAAAAGTGTAGCAAGAGCTTTCTAAGATGAAAGTAATCTATCGAACATGTGAGCTTTTATTGTTCCAAAATTAAACTTAAAATTTCAAGACATTCGCCAATCCTGCTCATCACTTATTCAAGTCTTTAGCCCACTACCACGACATCATAAACATTACTATATTTATGATCTTTCTTAAAACTTTGATGAACAATATTAAACCTTGACTCTGACATTAATTTTCACGGGTTTAGCCATTCTAAAGAACTATGCATCTCTTAACCACTCAAAGTAAATGCTTCACAATCTTAGGTAATGGACAAAAAACTAGTGATTTGTTGTAAGTGATACCTTGTTTTCGATTATTTTCATCACCCATAACTTATGTCTATCAAACTGCAAGTGCAAATGCAGGTGTACGATACTTCACCTATCGAGCCTTGACAATGTGCTCATAAAGCCTTGACAAATCATCATCATTCTAATTTACTTGTAGTTATCAAACTTATGTCTTTCATTTTACCCCGGAAAGAGGCAAAAAAATAAATAAATAAATAAATAAATGACCGAATCTATGTGGAGTTTTGCTACTTGGACAGGTCAAGTGCCCCGGGGGGGACAGGGCCTTGTTCATCTATCCGTGGCCAATGGTTTGACCTTGTCCACGAAGATTTGTTCATCTATCTGTGGCCAATGGTTAAATGAGGTTGCACTGGAAGAAAAATAATGAGGCGTAGGAGATCTCAACTCCATGTAATTAACGGCAATATGACAGATGTAAATGCGATTTCTTGACTCTTAATCAAAATCGCTTTATTTATTTAACACAATTAGTTGAATCGTTCGTTCACGCAAGTATTAATGAAAAAACTAAACCAAAAGGTAATGGGAATGGGGAAGGAGATTAATTAATGTTAGTTGCTGTTCTTATCCTCTCTCTAAATTACTTTTATTTATAATGTTTTACAATTTAGAAATGGAAAATAAATTATCTTTATTTTAGTTTAGAATTGTTTAAAAAAAAAAAACAATGGTTTTCATAATCAATCAATACAACAGCCGTCTCACGTGTCATACATATGACAGGTGGTTATCTATGTCACGTATGGTGACTGTCATAGTGAACGATTTCGAATAACAGTATTCTAAAAAATAAGAAAGTAACATTTTTATTCTCTCCCATTTCCATACGCGCACACTTTCTCGACTAAAGACTTCAATATTTTTTTGGTTGGTATAAGTAGACGGACAAGATGACCTTATCCTATTCACATGCATATTTGGCATCTATCCAAAGTCCTGTGGGGTTTAAACGCAACACGGGAAAATGAAAAAGGAAAAACTAACATGCTTTGGTGCCCATCACGAGATCCTCTTCCGTTTCCATTTCCATTTCCCTTTTATTTTTTATTTTTAATAGTATATCCTATATTTAGATTTATACCATCTAAATTTCAAATTTCTTTGTGTTGGATTTTAACTTGTCATGTGTACCTACATATGTAACTAATGGTGTAAAAAATCTATCTTAAAGTTAAGCCCGTTTAAAGTAGTAAAGAATTAAAGGTATTGAGTTTTGAGTATCAAATTAAAGTGTGGGCATAAATATGTGTAGAGATTGAAACCATTAAAATTGTATTTCATGATGGACAAAATACCTATAGAAACGATATATAGAGTCATTATCCCCAATTTATATGTGATTCTCATTTTATGGGTCATCCCATCAACATAAGATTATCAAGAGAAAAAATATTGAAGATGAAGATTCAAAATTAGCACAATCATGAATTAAAAAGAAGGATTAAAACAATCAAGATTAAAGATCAAGAAGCCAAGATTAAAGAGATTACAAGTTGATCTTCAAGATTCAAAATAATTTATCAAGGGATGTTCCACATTAATTAATTCTCTTGGTAATTTAATATAGAGATCTTGGTAATTCATGAAGTTTTATATAGTTTAAGTTTCATAGATATTCAACAAATCGTATCAAAGCCAATCTATGTTAAACCATTGAGAATAAAAAAAAATAAAAAAATAAAATTAGGGTCGAAATTCATTCTATGGTTTATAAAATTTGAGATGCAAATTCCAAGCCCGAAACCTCAAAATTTTGAATTTTTTTTTGGATTTTTCGAAAAAAAACTTGGATCAGAACGACGCCCAAGTTCAATTTTTTTCTAATATTTCTTTTTGTTAAAAAGCAAAAAGAAAGAAAAATAAAAATAAAAAGTAAGGAATTAATAATTCAAATTCAAATTTTTGTATTAAAATTTCTTTCGAATTACTAATTTTCCAAAATAGATTAGTCGAAACAATATATTATCCAAGTAACATCTCTTGTTTAAATTAATTTATTTGAAATATTATAATGGTTGTGTATTTGTAATTTATGCGGATATTAACAAGCCCCAAAAAATGTAAATAATTGGCAAAATTACATACACACGTATGATAATAGTTATGCAACAATTATAAATTTTTTATTTATGTGAACTATAAATCGATCCAAAAATAAGTTTATTGTTTGACATGGTTTTATTGTCAATATTTGATTACTACACTAGGAGTGTCACTTATAAGTTAGTATTTATGTCCAAATACTAAATATAAATGTTGGGCTTGGTCTCTTGTAATGGGGTCTACGATTATTTGAATTAATTAATTGTTTAACGCGAATTCTAGTGTGAAGATATTTTTTTGATTTTGTTCTCTATTCAATGAACTCTTCTGATTCTTCAATATATGCTAATATCAACTCAATTTATGTGCTTAATGGAACCAACTTTAAGGACTTCAATAAGAACGTTCAAATCGTTTTAGATTGCATGGACTTTAACCTTGCGTTAAAGGCTGAACAACCTGTTGTACTTATGGATAAAAGTTCCGTTGATGAAAAATCGAACTTTGGTAAATAGGATCATTCAAATCGCAAAAGTCTTATGATCATAAAGTGTGGAATTCCATAATCATTCAAGGGCGATGTGTCTAATGGTAACTACTGCCAATGAATTTATTGAAGAAATTGAAAAACGCTTTGGAAAAGCGATAAGGCCTAAACTAGTATGCTTTTGACGATATTGATTTCACTAAAGTATAAGGGCAAAGGAAGTATTCGGGAATATATCATGGAGATGTCTCATACTACTTCAAAACTAAAAACATTGAATTTGAGGTGTTTGATTATTTGCTTGTGCATTTGATTTTAATTTCTCTTCTTGGATAATTCCATCAATTTAAGGTCAATTATAACTGTCAAAAGGAGAAGTGGATTTTTAATGAGTTCATTTCATATTTGTGGAAGAAGAAGAAAGGCTAAAGCAAGATAGAATAAAAAGTGCTTACTTGGCTAGTACATCTAAAGATAAGTTCAAGAAAGAATAAAGTAAGGAAGGTGCATCTAGTCCAACTCAAAAATAAAAATAAAATAATAATAATAAATAATATATATATATATATAGCAAAAGCTTGAAAATGACGAATTATTTGGCTATTACTTTTGTAAAATTTTGGGACACTTAAAGAGGGATTGTACAAGAAACCATGCTTGGCATGTAAAGAAAGGTACACTACTCACTTTGGTTTGTTCTGAAGTTAATTTAATTTCAGTACTAAGACACACTTGGTCGATAAATTTTGATGCAAAATTACTCATATAAGTGTGTCTATGTAGGGTTGCCTGAATAGCTGAAAGCTAATGAATGCTAAAAGATTCATCCATATGTGTGATGACAAATCAGTTAAAGTTGAGGCTGTAAAAACTTTTAGGTTATTATTTGGATTTGAAAGAGATATTTGCAATACCATCTTTTAGATGAAATTTGATTTCTATTTCTACGTTAGATAAATTCTATTACTCTTGTTCATTTAAAAATAGTCAGTTTAGTCTTTTTTCCTAATTTAAATATTGTGAGTACCAGTTCTTTATTTGATTATGATAACCTATATTTGTTTAATACAGTTGCTCCTTATAAAGAAACATTGCACGCGTTAAATAACCAATGAAAATTTCACTTCGTTATTGTACAAGCAATCAGTTCACATCTCTTAGAAAAGAAAGGAAATGCTTGTGTTAAAAGGAATTCCAGATCTCCTTGATTTTTTAGACTTAAGTTTTTGTGTTAATTGCATTAAGAAGAAAACAAAACAAATATAAGGATATTAGGTATCAATAGGATTTCGGACGTCAGACGATTTATAAATTAAAGAAATTTATCTATGGGCTTAAACAGACTTACCGTCAATGGTAACACAAATTTTATCAAATAATTATCTCATTTGGTTTTGAGATGGATGCAATTGAGATTGTGTATATTACAAGTTCAGTGAGAGTAAGCATATTTTCCTAATATTGTATGTTGATAACATACCGTTTCCTGCAATAATAGGCTTATTGCACGAAATCAAGAGATTTCTATCATGAAATTTTGAAATAAAAGATCTTGGTAGCGATACATTAGGATCATTCTCAGGGGTATTTCTGAATCATCCCAATAGAGCAATGTCAAAAAGGCTTTTAAGAGATTTGGGATGTACGAATGTAAAACAAGTGATCCCCTATTGCTAAAGGAGATCCATATCGGGCTATGTCTTCTTGCTAGCTGAAGGAACTATATCATGGAAGAGTGTTAAGCAAATATTCATAAGTTCTTCAACCATGACAGCAGAGTTTGCAGTATGTTATGTGGCATCCATTCAAAGAACATGATCGCGACATTTTGTCACTAGGCTACAAATCCTGGATAGTATTAAAAGACCACTTAAGTTGTTTTGTGACAATACGTCGGTAGTCTTATATTCAAACAATAATAGAAGTTCAACTAAATCTAAGTTTATAGACATCAAAATCCTAGTTTTTAAAGAGAGAGTTCAGATTAGTTAGATTACTATAGAACATATTATGATAAAATCCATGATAGCATATTTCTCTAATATCACCCAAGTTATTTCATGAGCACACTGCTCACATGTAAGTTTTATATTTTAATGGTATGCTAGTTTAATAGGAAATTTTTTTTGGATGTCTCTTTTGAACATATGATTTCATTTGTGCATATTCTAGTTTATTTCATAAATAAAAAATCCAGTTATTTTCACTCTGATTAAAGATTTTGGTTTGATCTCATTAAAGTGTAAGGTATTAAAGAATAAGGTAGGACCAGTTAAAATATGCATGTTTGGATCATATTATATGTAATTTTTATGCTACACATTCATACTTGATCTATGTCATTTGATTGCTTCGATATACGTAACCATTGTTAATTTAGTTATGTTACTTATAATGAATACCGCTTGATTCTATGTTGACATAATTGATGAACGAGATTCTTGAGAGATGCCTTTGATTTTGATAGCAAAAATTTTTGAGTTTATAAGTTCATGAACATTTATAAGATAACACTTGTGGTCCAAATAGAAGATTGTTGGACATTAATTTGTCATATGAGTCTATATGTGTAATTAATTGTGTATAAAAGCTCTTTTAATGTTAATTCCATTTAAATTGATTTAATAAAGAATTAAAGTTATTGGACTTTAGGCATCTAATTAAAGTATGAACTTAAATATGTGTAGAGACCGAATCCATTAGAGTTGTATTTCGTGATGAGCAAAATACATATAAAAACTATATACATGGATATTTGCCCCAATTCACAAGTGATTCTCATTCTCTATGTCATCTCAATAACACAACAATATTAAAGAAAACATATTGAATAGGAAGATCTTGAACTTGCAATCGACAATCAAATATCAAGAAGAATGAATTGAAACAATCAAAATTATGAAGCAGGAAGCCGAATTAAAAAGAACAAAGAAAAAAAAAACACAAGGATTAAGAGTCCAAGATCAAGAGATTGCAGTTAATTTTCAAAATTTATGATTCAGTACTAAAGAATCATTCTTTTCAAAATTTAAAATAATAAAGAATCATTCTTAATAAATCAAGATATGTTCCACACTTAACTAATTCTTTTGGTTATTCGATCGAAAGATTTAGGAGTAAAGTACTTCAAATTTCAAGTTATTGAGATTTAAAGTTTTAATAAAATTTTAACACTGTACTTTATCTTAAGGTGGCTTTCGAATACAAAAAAGAATCTCGCATTTGTAACCATTCAGTCTAATCACCTTAATGATCTGAAATAATTTATTTTTTTTATTTTTAAGAGTAATAGTCACTTAAGTCTCTGATGTTTATGTAAACGAACACTCGTCAAAAAATTAAATAAAATCTTGTGTTATCACCAAATAAATAACGTCAAGTCAATAAAATTTAGGAATTAAAATTGAGGATTAAACACATAAGTAAAAAATAACACGGCTTTAATTTTGTTCAAATTTAGGGGCCAAAATTGTTGGGTAAACCCAAATTATTTTTTTTAAGTGCAATTTTTAATAATATCAAATTGAATGTGCATCAGAAAGCTTAATTTGGGTTTACTCTACAATTTTATCCCCACGTAAATAAATAATGCAATTCAAATTAAATACCCAAATAATAATATAAATTGAAAAAACATTTCAAGTTTAACTTCCCTGGGTAAGATAGTACTAATTATTATAATGTTATGACAGTAAAACAAGCATAATGTCCAGGCCAAAACATTTAGAGTTACAATTGTGTAAAATGTACAATCTTCATTGCATCAAAATGTTAACACTTCATTATCAACCTATTTAAGTCAGGCAAATACTTTCCTGCAGTATCACCTTCATATAATAAGATGAAAAATTCATTTACGATGATGCGACTTCGCAACTGTAAAAAGAGTGTAAAGCTACTATGTCCGCATCCTACTATTTTCGGCTGCCCTCACTTGGTTGAAGTAAGGATGAGCCTGAGATAAAACAAAGATGCTTCAGAACCACAATTCACCAAGCTAAATAACAATCATTAACGGAAGTGTGAATAAACCTATGTTTACTAAGTGTCAACGAGTTTTCTTTTTCAGTGCAGATGGAAAAGAGCAATGTTCATTATGAAGTGTTCGAATCTTGTAACAAAAATCTCATTCCAAGCGTTCATCTAAGACTGGTTCAAAATTTACAACTATGGGGATAAAAAAATGAAACAACCTAAGATGTAAATAAAGAGAAGCATAAATAGCAATAATTGGTAGCAAATGCAAGTGAAGCACTGAGTAACTATGCTTAGGGTTGGGCAAAAACCAACCCGAATAGCTCAAACCGACCAGTTTGGGTTGGGTTAAATAAAAAATTTAATACCTAAAATGGAAAAACTTAAATAGCACAATAGTGGAGACAAGAGAAGGACTTAGAATGTACAAATGTCTACATAGGCTAGCTGGCATGAATACTATGCACAAATACAAAATATTTTGACGATAAACAAAAACTTAAGGATGTGATAATGAAATGAATAAATTCCCAAAAAAAAAATTGAAAAAGGAAACGCTCCATATTTTCCAACTTATTTATACATTATTTTGCAAAAATAATTCCTTATATACGTTAAAAACAACGAAGATTTCAAGTATTCCAAATTTGTAGAGTGAAACCCACTCTCTATTTTAAAAAGTTCAAATAAAGTCTACTTATTATTTTAAAAAGTTCAAATAGAATCCATTCGAGACTAATTTTAAGAATTGACACTCTAAAATAGCGAATATCTCAAGTTTAAAGACTCTTCGAGATGCTCTTAAACAGCAGAAAACAGATAAATATTTCAATAAGAGTTAAACATTAAGGTAAAGTAACATTAAATCTACCCAGAATATGATGTCTAAAATCTGCATTCATCATATTCTGCAAGAAACTTCATGTGGAAAATGATGAGTGCTACAAAGATGTTCAAAATGAATATCCTTCAGGAGTACTTAGACATAGTTTATTGAAAAGATTTAGATTGTGATAAAGTAAACAGAAGAAATTATGGCTGATATATCAAAAAATTCTTAGAAGCAGAGAGATGGACGTCAGACAAAAAAAAAAAATAAAAAAGTTCATATTCACTAAATATAACATGCATATTCCATATCCGTCAAACAGTGGAGAAACAAAAATAAAAAGTCGGTCATGAAACACTACCATTGCTTCTTTGGCTGTAAGCCTATCTTGATGATCATAACGGAGAAGTTTATCGAGAAAATCAAGGGCCTGCACAGACATAATAAAAAATATTAAAAGTTATGCTGTAACATATCTAATAACTAAGGGAAAAGGAAATTGAAAAAGTGGTAGATGGCACAAAATAGATAACCTCAGGGGAAACAAGATGTTGATTGTCTGAGTTAATAAATCTAGACCAAGGCTTCCTGCTGTGCCTGAAGAGAAAGTAATATAAAATTGTATCACTAAAGCTTCATCAATTGTCAAATAGGGAAGGTGGAGATGAATTGAGAATCCTGCAGAATTTAGTGTAGCTTCCAAGATGAATCATACTTCATTACATACCTTCCAACAAGAGCTTCAAGTTGAGGGTCCAGTTCAAGATGATATTTGTTCAAATACACATTCAATTCATCTGTACCAAGGACCTGTAACAAAGGTACAAAGTTGTCTGTATTGCCAAAATGAGAAACAATAACTTAATACTGGAAAATTCATAATTGGCAAATTAGACAAAAGAATATTTGTTCAAGCTTGAAGGACTAATAACACTGAAAACCAAGTTCAAGTTGAAAGGTACACGAATCTAATTGATCAGAGACTCAAAATATATAGAAGGCTAAATTTTGAATGAACTTCCACCAGCTAGAGAATTTGCCAAATCATCTTCATACAAATTAATGCAAGTCTATAGTCATCCATTTACTTGCAAACACGTTACGGACACAAATTAACAGATTATTTATCGTTGTTGAGTTTTCTATATTGAAAATGAATTCACCCATATTAGCAATCTTCATTCATGTTTGTAACACAGCGAAGAGTTATGGTATGTCATGTGCGACAAAAGATATCGGGGCATCAGTGTAGAACTAACAACATTCTCATCTAAAGCTTCATAAAGCCAGGTCTAAAACTGACCCTACACAGTAAAATCTTTCACGACATTAAAGCTTAATAGGAAACTTAAAGTCTCATACTAAATATATATATAAGCCATCATTTCTCTTGACTGAAAATGTAGGATCCATAAAAAATACAAGATCTATATCAAGCATATCACATTGATTGGTTGCAAAAGTCCGTGTGGGAGTAAAGCATATCGTAACAGATGGAAAACTTAATTTAATTTTACTTGTTCAAAATCACTTGTACATATAAGATAGAAACCCCTGCATCATTATCCAAATAACGATTTATTTGCACCTCAGGATTTCATGGAAATTAAAGAAAAGGTCAAGTCAACAGCTTCAGGTTCAACAGCCGAATAGATTTCAATCCTATTGAATTGAATAAGGGGCTGTTCCTTAGCTCCTCCCCCCGAGGGGGACAGGAGGGGGGAAAGCGTTTAGGGCTGCTCTCCGGGTCCACAAACACAAAGTTTATGGCTGACCAATATTGCTCATCATTATCTAGCTATTGCATTTATTTTTCTTGTTGCTGGTCATATGTATCGAACGAATTTCGGGATTTCCCGGGATGAGCGGCGCCTTCTTTATTCCTTCGTCTTGGTAAGAAAGCAGTTTTTCCCTCAATTTGAATCAAACTGTTGTCTTTGTAAACCATCTTCAAGACATAGTAATTACTGTAATACCTAACATGCTGTCCCATTTGGACTTGAACAATGATTACACTATTATACAATTCTACAACACACGTACACTAAAAAATCGAAAGTGATAACTACCACCTCAAACTCTAAATGCATGTGCATAATTATATACTAAGAAATATGGGAACACTGACACGACTCCTTAAAAAAAAAAGAAAATAAATAAATAAATTCGAATACGTGCATATATACCCACTCATACAAATTTTAAAAAATAAAAAATAAAATAAAATAATAATAAGCGTGATAATAAAAATAAAAAAAAATACTAATACATTTCATCTTAGTCCTTAATTGTCCCAATTTCATTTTCTTCAATGTCACCAACATCATCTTCTTCATCATCACTAAAAATAATAATATCCAAATATGACTCATCTAATGATGGATTAATAAGATCAAACAACTTAACACCTTCAAGAGTATTGAATTAGTCTCCGACTATGTCTGATATTTTAGATTCTCCTTTTGAATAGGAGTTAATTTTCTTGATAAATGACGCAAATTGCTATGAATTAAAACCAATTCATTAATATATATATATATATATATATATATATAAGCACCGGTGCTTAGTTTATGTTAAGTATCGGTGACATGGCACACCATTTAATTGGTGAATCATTAAATACATGAGACCTACCATTAACTTAGTCATCAATTAAATGGTGTGTCATATCATCGGTGCTTAGCATAAGCTAAGCACTAGTGTTTAAGATATTATTTCCGTATATATATATATATATATATATATATATATATATATAAACACGATGTTACACGTATTAAAAGAGTTTATACTATTCTTATTTCCACCAGAAAGCTCTAGTTGCCAATTAACTTAACCTACGTGCAGCGACACGGACACATCCGACATTACACATGTCGGACATGTTGACACGGAATTTTTAAAAAAAAAAGAAGTG